TTGGGTAGGTGAATCAAGGCAATTGGCCTTAACAGTTCTTCATAAAAGACAGTTAATAAAAAAAGATGCTACGGCAATGTCACCTAGCGATTGGGTAGGTGAATCATGGCAATTAGGCCTCAACTTCACAAAAGACAGTTAATAAAAAAAAGATGCTATGGCAATGTCACCTAGCGATTGGGTAGGTGAATCAAGGCAATTGGGCCTCACCTGTTCTTCACGAAAGACAATTAATAAAAAAAAAATTATTTCACCTAGCGATTGGGTAGGTGAATCAAGGCAATTGGCCTCAACTGTTCTTCACGAAAGACAGTTAATAAATAAAGATGCTACGGCAATGTCACCTAGCGATTGGGTAGGTGAATCAAGGCGATTGGCCTCAACTGTTCTTCACGAAAGACAGTTAATAAAAATAAAAAAAATGATTTCACCTAGCGATTGGGTAGGTGAATCAAGGCAATTGGCCTCAACTGTTCTTCACGAAAGACAGTTAAAAATATATATAAAAAAAATGCTACGGCAATGTCACCTAGCGATTGGGTAGGTGAATCAAGGCGATTGGCCTCAACTGTTCTTCACGAAAGACAGTTAATAAAAAAAGATGCTACGGCAATGTCACCTAGCGATTGGGTAGGTGAATCAAGGCGATTGGCCTCAACTGTTCTTCACGAAAGACAGTAAATAAAAAAAAATGATTTCACCTACCGATTGGGTAGGTGAATCAAGGCAATTGGCCTCAACTGTTCTTCACGAAAGACAGTTAATAAAAAAAGATGCTACGGCAATGTCACCTAGCGATTGGGTAGGTGAATCAAGGCGATTGGCCTCAACTGTTCTTCACGAAAGACAGTTAATAAAAAAAGATGCTACGGCAATGTCACCTAGCGATTGGGTAGGTGAAACAAGGCGATTGGCCTCAACTGTTCTTCACGAAAGACAGTTACGTGAACTGTCTTTTTCAAGACAGTTCTGTAGAAGGGTTTACTCCATACCACAGTCCTTGCTTGTGTGACCAAGGCTGTGGGAACCTCTTTCCCTTCAGTGGTTCTCAAAAATGATTAGGATTTTACAAACATTTAAATAGTATGACAACAACTTAAAATATTCCCAAATATTTTGAGTTATCAACTTCAATTTTTTCCCACTTAACTTTTTATTGTCTGCCTCTAAACAATAATCTATTAACTTAGTAGTTTATTTAACATCTAAATAGGACTGCAACAAAATTATACACATTTGGACATTGATGAGAATTTTAAAATATTGACTAGGAATATATCAAATATCTTGCATGAAATGGTAAAATAATAAAGGTACATATGAAAAATAAATAAAGGAACTTAATAAAATTAATAAATTCATTCTAATGTAATAGCATGAAACTTTTTATGAGAGTATTAAATAATTATTTTGTCATTTTCTCTAAACAATAATCTATTAACTTAATAGTTTATTTAACATCTAAATCATAATTGGACTGCAACAAAATTATAGACATTGGACATTGGTGAGAATGTAAAAATATTGACCAGGAAAATATAAAATGACTTGTATGAAATGCTAAAATAATAAAGGTTCGTATAAAAATAAATATCGCAACTTATTAAAATCTTTATAGGCTTACCTTCGTCAGTAGTCCAAAATTGTGTCTTAATTCAACTAATGTTGATCAAAGCTTTATTAAAATCACTAAATACTAATGTAATTGCATGGCACTTTTTATGTGAGTATTAAGTAATTATTTTGTCATTTTAAGATTTTTTCTATGGGTAAATTATTTTACTGAGAACCACTGTCTTAAAAAATAGAGTGACCTCCAAGATGGTGGAGAGGTTGACGTTCCTTTGGAGGCTTTTTTACTAACATCCACTAGTGACACATTAATCTACAACTTACTTATGTCGAAAGAAGTGCAAAATTATTTCTTTTAACAAAATCAAACAATAAATAAAAACTTAACTTCAATTTTAACCAGCTTCAAATAAACATAATCTGATATTGATGAAATTTCATAAAATTTTGAAAAATTTCATTTATTTAGGCGAACGAACATGACCGAACAATGGGAATGGTGTGAGATACTTAACTTAAATGAGGGTGAAAACATACTGTTATTAAATAAATACCAGAACTTGCCAATTCCCATCCAAATTGCCTACACCTGGGTCTAGGTGATAGCAATAGTTTAAACTTAACGAGCAATAGTGCAAAGTAACGAATACTCAAATACAATAAATTAAAAACACACTCCAACCATATTCATAACAGCACTTCAAGTCAATAAACCGACTAGATTATTTTACACTCCGAAATGATCAACTTATTTTACAAATATTTAATGGTTACAACATAAATATTAAATATAAAACATCACCCCCAAAAGCAATGTTTGTGGCCTCACAACGACTGGACCAAATTTTTTCGATAAGCTGTTAGCTAGTACTGTAGGCCTACTTTAATTCCCTGCGAGGAACGTGGAGGGTTTAATAAAAGCTATTTGTTTTGTGGTAGGATAAAAAAGCCAAGAATTTTCATTCCTACTCTGTCAAACAAGTTCAGGGACATCGTTATACGCTACTTACTCATCTCATGTATGTCGATCTTCAAAAATATATTCCAAAGTTTAATCCAATTCATAGTTTATGTTTGACTTTTACAAATTTCCCTATAGAGAAGTAGCTATTTCCGTAGGTGGCATGGTAAGACCTGGAGCCGGGACCAATATACTTTTTCATTTTAATGTCCCTAGAGGCCAAAAACACTATTCGTTCAAATTTCTATACATGTATGTGTACAAACGTCTGTGAACGTAAACGCGATAACTTGAGTAATTTTTGTCCGATTTTAATTAAATTTGGTTTGAAGGTGTAAGGGGGATAAACTTGAATGACTTCACGAACCAGCATGATCGGACCATGGGAACAGGGTTTAAGGGGGGGGGGGGGGGGGTTATGGGGTAAAATTTGTTTTTTCAAATTGTTGACCATCAAAACGCAAAGTTTCCCAATTTCTCTCTAGACCATTTTAAAGAACAAAAACAAATTATTTAGTATACCAAAGTGTTTTTGTACAGTTATTGGTTATGAGAAAAATTCAAATTCAAAATTCCCATGTTATTCTTAGAGAGTTTTGTAAAATGTTGTAGTTTTCTTGTTAGTGGAAATATTTTTGATAAAACTTGGCAAATTTATATATTTTATACTAAGCTACTAATATTTTACCGAAAACACTTTATATTAGCCTCCCTGTAGCAGCAAACCTAGGTACCCAATGGCTTAATGACTTAAAGTTTTTTTTTATAGATTTAATTAAAGACAATTCAGGCAAATGGAAATTCGCTTAGTCTGCAGGTTTGCTGCGGCGGGGGTATTTGTATTCCTAGGGTGAGTTTAAAACTAAATAAAAAGGCAAAGTTCTATTTTGAATAATTTATGGAGTTCAAATAGATCCATTTTGTCCAAGTTGAATTAGATCTATCAATTTTAAAAACACATTTTAACTTAAACAAGCAACAAGTTGGTTTAGTCTTGACACAATACAGATCAATGCATATGTGAACTATAAATGGTAAAGAATGTTAGACATTTTTAACTTTTACACTTCATAATCAGGACAACATCTAGGATATAAAAACAATGTTGTTGGCACACAAACATCTTTATTTCAAGATTTTCAAGATCAATCAAAGAATCACTGGTAAACATACAAAATCAGTTTCAGTCAAACTACTAGAAATCCTTAACGACGTTAGTTTTTCAAAAACTAGCTCCAAACTGCCCAAGACTTTTAGTCCTCATGATAAAAAAGCAGTTTTATAATGTTCGCTAAAAACGTAAGGCACACTTTAAAGTCTTATTTTCTTTGGAATGTTAGTGTACAGTTTAACAAATCAAAGGAACAATGTGATTTTCAACAAAGACAAACAACTAAATAAGTTAACTCACAAAGAGCATTAAAGCTAAGAAAATAAATAATAAGTTAATAACGAATAAATAATAACAAAATAAAGCACTAGCTACAAAATCAGATTGACTAAGAAAAACAAAAACCTATTCGTTCTTATTAAAAATTCGGTTGTTATTTTGTTTACTGTCATTTTACTCTTCCTAAACAGTTTCAGGAGTGTGATAAATTAATAAATATGTTGTGGTTGAGTTGAGCATAAAACCGTTTTGACACAAAAAATATAATCTTTAATAGGCAACACTGATCAAATTAGCATTAAATCAGTCAATTAGACTTCTCATCGCATTGTAAAGTCTGAGGCCTGTCTTATATGAGTAAAAACTGTAGGTTGAGATCTAATTCTCAATTCAACCAATTATCAATTGAGATGGGGACGCCACCTAGGTGCGTACTCTAACCCAAATATGAGTGAGGAAGAATGTACAGGGTGGTCGAAAAGTCCCTCTACACAATATTGCAGTATAGTACACTGTTGTTATAAACACAACTGATCAGCAAATATTCGTACAAGTAGTAAGGAAACAGTGGGGAAATAGAATAAAGCCTCTTTCTCCCTTACCCCACTGTCGCTTCGGCCCTAGAACACCAATTAAATTTATCTTTAGTGTAAAGGGACTTTTCGGCCACCCTGTAGAATGGTGTGAGATGCTGTGTAGCTTTGTTACTGACTAAGATCAGCTGATTCGTCAGTCTTGATCATTTATTTAAATCCCAAAGATCAGGAATTGTTTGGATTAAAACTACAGGATGTGTTATGAAACTAAAATTACTTACTGTATATCACTGGTAAAAAAATAAAAAATACATTTATTACTAGATTTTTTTTTTAAGGCACACTACATTATAAACAAATTCTAATCAGTTTGATCAGTCTTATTTGACATAAGTCTTTACAACATTCATCTTTAGCTTTCAAAAGAACAGCAGTGAGGAATCATATTCTTGCAACCAAATTATCCAACGAGCGACAAAATTAATCCTAAAACACAGACATACCCTCAACAATACACTAATGGATAAAGAGAACAACTAACAACATGCATGAATTATAATTGAGCAAAATTCACTTGCAACAATACAAATCAACAAATAAAGGCAAAAAATATCAGTCTTGTTCACTCAGTCATATAAATAACGTCAATGTAAAAAATCAAAACCACCAAATAGGAATAATCACAAAAAATACCTCTAAGCTATGAAATACCAAAACTTAACGATACTTAAGAATATTGTTTATCAAAAATAATCATAGACTTCATCGTTAAAATAGATCATTGTTAAAAGTGTATACATATTGATGTTTAACATTACATAGATTATAGAACTAGGCAATAAGAATACACGTTTGTCCAAATAGTTCAGATCATTAAAATTATAAAAAAATACCTATTTAAATTCATACGTATAAGTGAATTATCTACATTAAGGAAACATTCAATACAAATTTGAAAAAAGTGCGTCCAACCTTTCCAGAGTCTCATGCAAAAATATTTCTCTTTCAAAACTATGAATTTAACAATGTTTAAGAAACCTTTGGAGTATTGCCTCAGGACTGTTTTAACAAATAAATTAAGAAAGTCTGTATAGAACTAGAAAGTCAATATAACAAATAAGTTAAGAAAGAAAATTATGATGAAATCAGTCGAGAGGACGAATGTCAGATTCCACAGTCGATGGAGGATCCCAAGCATGAAGTTGGCGTCTCCATGCATGTATCATACCTAGAAAATCCAAAGATTTCTATTTTGATAAAAAAATCAAGAGAATGAACAGTTCAAATGCATGATGGGTAGTTGAATTGTTTGAACCTTGAAGTTTTGATTGTTTATGTACATCAGGTTAATCTATTACCTTTCTAAAACTTTATCAACAAATTTTATTTACATTGCGTTTTTAATTGTATATACTGTATCTTCAATAGACATATTTCTTGTAGACAGTATTGAATTTTTTTTAAAGAGGTAGGGCCGAGCCCAGAAATTTATTTTCAGGACGAGGGGTATTAATATTATTTTACGTTATTATTTTTTGCATCTTAACATACAGGAAAGTAAAGTCAGATTCAAAATACTACACCAAAAGGTTTTGAGCTTTCGGTTAAACATGTAATTTTCAAAACTTAATGGAGTGAAAACGGGAACAACTAATTGGCTTAAAAAGAGTGCTCTAAACAACAAAAAGGGAGTAATGAAGGTAAATCATTAGTGTTTACACAATTGGCTATTATTATAGGAGTTTAAGCACTTGTGGTTATGGAGTCTTTAAACCAGTACCTACATCAAAACAAAAATGAAGTTCATAGACAAATCGGCTAGATTTTTGGCATGTTATAAGGCCTAAGTGTAGAAATTCATATTTTTAACAGCTTTAACATTTTGAAGGGGGGGGGGTACACAAATTACCCATATTGGTTCCCCTGTGGAAGGATATTACCATAGAAGAATAAATACAAACTAAGAAAACATATCCACATAAAAAAATTCATTTCTCTCTTACAGAATGTCGATCAGTTCCCTTATATAAAAATACGAGACTAAAAATTACATTTTTTGCCATTAAAAACTCATTATTATATGTGCAGTTCATCTAATATCCTAATATTGGGTAAAGTTGAATTTTAGAAATCATAAGTAAAGTATGAGAGGGATAAATGCACTTAAATTTAATTTTAAAATGAAAACATGCATAACAAAATCTCTTTCCCGTTGTTTTGTTTTTTTGGAATCTGGAATTGATTGTCTTTACTCATTTATTTTTATGGTCTCAGTAAAAATGTAAAAATATGAATGTCTTTAAATGCCTTGTCAAGCTTTGTTACTGACTAAGATTCTGTCTTTCACACACTGTTTGCCAGCCTTAGAATGAAAATGAATGAATTCAAATACTTGAATACTTGTTTATCGAGGCGAACATTAGGACCACATGGTCTTTTCTTACAGTTAACCTCTTATGTGGATGGAGGAAGTTAAAGGAAGCTGTGAAAATGGAACTAGTAAGACAAGGTAAATCTTGGAAACCTTGAGAGAATACAAATGGAAAGCAGCACCTAGGTGTCTGACCTACCTTCCTAAAGTACCAGCATCTCATGATAGCATATGTGTTATGAGGAAAGCAAAACAGAACAAGGCCTCCCATTCCAATAAAATACAAAAGGTTGTACTAGAATGGTGCAGGAGAAAACACCGATTTTTTTGTGTGGAATCTCCACATACTTCAATTACGGACCCATCAGAGAGTCCAAAGAAAATCTTTTCCCTCCTACCGCAAAAAAAGTAAAAATTAAATAATCAAAAAGCTACTAACTTTTCTTAGGATCAAACCAGCTCTGATTTTTGGACAAGCACTCTAATAGCTCAGCCACCCTACAGTAGGCTATATACAGTGTGGCCAAAAAGTCCCTTTACACAATACTGCAGTAAGTTATGTATTACACTTGATCAGCAAGTTGATCAGCAAATATTTGTACGTGAGTAGTAAGGCAACAGTGAGGAAGAGAATGAAGCCTATCTCCCTTCCCAACCACCGCCACAGCCCTAGGACAAGACGACACCAAGTAGAAAGTAAGGGCGGCGTTTGCACTAGTCACCCCAGAAATGCTGAAACGAATGAGCCAACGAACTTGGCGTCGAGTCAAGCTTTGCTGAGACAATAGAGGCATGCATGCCGATGTTTTGGACAAAAAAATATGTTCACTTGGTGTATTCAACAATTAATTTCTGATTACAATAAATTGTTATCGGAAACAATTATTTTTAAAGGGACTTTTCGGCCACCCTGTACTTAAGAAAATGCACCAGAAAAATTTTGTTTAAGGAAAATCTATTAAATTTGTGTTTTAAAGCTTACCGTCCCAAGTACGCCGGCTACAACGGAGATGCCTAGGCGGTGTGACCGGATGGCCACAGCTTCTCTTGCGCCGAGGGACCAGACTGCAGTAGCGAGCGTATCCCGCTGTGTTCTTCCCGTACTCAATCTGTTTCTGTCGCCGCTTCAATACATCTTCACTAGTTTCCTCTTCAAACTTAACCAGACGGCCCCAACTGCCTACAGGCAGGGCTTTTGAGTTGTGGCTTTTTATTTTGTCACTGCCACCCTCAGAATCTTTTAAAGCCACGTTGTTGCTGTCTTCTTTGCCAAACACAAATACATTGTTTACTTTTCCTGTGATTGAATCTGCAATGGCCTAAAAAAATATACAAATATTTTTTAGATCTTGTGCTGCTACAAAAAATCAAATTGAAGTTGCACTGTTAGTCTTTTAATAAAATAAATAAACATTGGAGTAAATTTCTTACTTAATATTAAAAAAATAAAAGTTTGGATGAGTGCGAGTGTCACATGGTCAATCACATGAAAAGTACTAGACTAATTGAGTCAACAAATGTACACATCTGGAATAGAGCCAATAAAGGACAGATGGACATTATGAGTATATGGAATATTTTTTCATTCTACTGAGGTTATAAAATAAAAACCCCACTGGCTTCCAAAGTTGCCATGTTATTCTTATGAATAACCTTAATATTTTAATTATCTAATCTCATATATTAATAGGCAAGCATGTATCTTGGAAAACTTTTTTCTTAGCTCCTGTGCATCGTAGGAAAAATCTACGTATACGTAAACTGTTAAAAGAAAGATATTTTCCTGTAAATGTGTAAAATCCCTTTATAAACTAAAATAGGCTCAAAAATAAGCACACAAAATTAAATTTAAATTTAAAAAAAGTTAACATGGGTCTTATGGGTTGTCACGATAGTGACAAAATAACAACGAAATATAAACAGAAAACCAAAACAAATGGAAAGAAATTCCAATCACAAGTTTTATTTACAACATGGGGTGAAAATAGAGAAGTCTGTACATTACATATTTTTGTTGAGTTTTCGGCCACTGGACGACCTCTAGTTAGAAAATGTTTGAAAATGATTTTTTTGTAATGGCTAGAATTTACAATTTTACCAGGCCTATAACCACTTAGTGAATACCAAAATTGGTTGGATTGCAACTGGCTGACCAAATCAAGTGCAAGCAAAGGAACTTGAAACATTGAAAAATGGACTCCTTGAACGTGCGTTTTATAAAATAGAAGAATTGTATAACCATCCCTTGAGTTAATTTTTTCTTTTTAATTTTCTTAACTACCGTACTGTATTAACATTATTTGGCTAGGTATTTTTTTCCTGTTACTTTGTACTTTGTATTTTTCTAGTCTAGGCTCAATTTTGACAATGCACCTGTTCTATATGTTATCACATCTAAAAGAATGTTATGTGCAAATAAATAATGTCTAATGTCTTGAGTGAGGGCTTCTATTTCTGTGTTGCTTTCACACAAATCACATGGTTAAATTACAAACCTCACCTTTTATAGTCAAGAAAAAGGGGCCCAACACATTTGTGGCGGGATTGGTGCTACAGCAATGTCTGTGGACAGCTGTGGTTTGTCTTTGTTTGTATTTATTAGTATTTGGTTACTGAGGAAATCTATACTCATTTATGCCCAACTAATCCTCAGATTATTTATTACTGTTGAAGTATTTCTCAACACTCATTAGCGCAATTTACACACAATACAGTACAATACAACTAATCAACCACCTATGCGACCAAGACCATGGTCGGAACAATGAAAAGGGCAGATTTTTCGAGGAGTATTAAATGACCGAATTAGTTGATTAACTGACATTTAATGATCAAATGTGACATTTAATGAAGCGATTGTGGAAGACAATGACAATGTTCCTGTGACCGCGGGAGACGTTTAATGTTTTTCCTACAATCACGGGGACAACAACGACGTTTCCTTTACTGCAAGAGATATTCCACGATTGCAGATAGACCCCTAACAACGATGAAGTTTCCGTGATTGCTGGAAATGATGATATCACTGCAAGTTCAAGAGATATTTAATGTCTTGCCACGATCACCACAAAAGATGATGTTTTTACCATAACCTTGGGATTTGTCTAAGATTTTTCCACGATTGTGAAAGACGATTATAATATTACCGTGACTGTGGGAGACGTTTAATTTTTTGCCATCATCGCTAAAGGATGATAACTGATTCAAAAATAAGATTTTTGCTGCGATTGCGGAGACGATGATAATCTCCACTACGATGATAATCATGACAAAAACTCATAAATTACCGTGACTACATTGTCACCAATAGGCGATGGGACCAATAAAACGATGAAACGGACTAGCCAAGGTCAGGTTAGTGGAATTCTAATGTACTAAGTAGACTAGACATTTAAAGCCCTTACCTGAATTGAAAGAAAAAGAATTCCAAACCAAGCAATAAAATTAGCAGATCTAAAAAATCACGTTATTCTCTTTGGTGTCCTCTTCCTATTGCGAAGAACGAGTATTGTGGCAGTAATAGGTACATAGTAACAGACTATTAACTGTTCCTATGATTGGTTATCTCGTAAAATCTTACTTATCGTTCATTAGTAGCATTCTGTTATGATGGATATTGTGACTGAAGTTACACTGCATATGAGTTGTTGGGTAGCGAGTAGGCCTAAGTTTCAAATGACTTGGACAAGTTAGAACAACTTAACAACAACAAAAAGTTGTTTAGGTAACTGTCAGACTCAAGGGTATTTTGAGTTGTTACATGCTCATTTGTTGTATTAATAGATTCAACAGTTATTATAAGTTCCCATATAATTTGTTCATAAACAATTAACCGTTTTATAATTACGAAGCTATTACTAAATTTAAAACTGAAATTATTTAACTTACTTAAAAATCCTCCCCCCTTTTCTTCTTGAGGGAGTTTTTTTAATGACAAACAATAATAACAGTATCAAAAATATTTCTTTGAGTGAGTCTAGCGCTTAATAATATTTCCCATTCTTAACATTTTATGTGTTGTATGTTTATGTTAAAAACTATAGCTTCGTTGTTGATGAAAACTGTGAATAAAAACGAAGTATGTTATGAAATCAGTTTTGATTTAAATAAAATAAGGTGGGTGAGTTGTATTCATGTGTGAGTTAAATGAAAAAGAGAAAAAGACTTCCATTAATCTTTCAAAGTTGTTTAATCTCTGTAGTATTTTTACCTAAAGAATACAGTAAAATGTACATTAAGTGTTGATTTGAATAACTTTTCATTTTTATTATTAACATTAACATAAAAAAGTTAACAATTAATTTTTGAAAAACAAAATGTTAAAAATAAAAGTAGACCTACTTTTAAAATCTAAGTTTAGGAACATTTTTGAATTGGTCCTGTAGCTGACAAATAAACCTAAGTTAACATGGTTAAGGCACAATTAAATTAAAACTAATTAATAAATTATTTAAATTAATTCACATCACATTTTTGAATCTAAGACTTGAATTCTCTGCAGCTAGAAAAAAAAACAAATGATAAGGGTTTAGTAAAAAAAAAAAAACCAAAATTAAAATTGATTTTTTATTAAAGCTAGAGCTATAAAGTTTCCAAATTGACCAACGGCTAATGTAAAAATGGCTCTAAAATAAACTTAGCAAATCAAGAATAAAACAGATCAACATTTAAATGTAGGCTTAAATAAATATTGGTTCAACATTTGTAATCACATTATCATCAGGAAATACTTGGTCCAAAAGGTAAATGGACAGTTGGGTTTTATTAACTTTCAAGTCACTGAAATCAGACAAATAGAAATTCGTTTAGTTTGCAGGTTTGCTGCAGCAAGGGTATTTTCCAAGTTTCTAGGAAGTATACTGTAAATGGATTTTGTTTATAATATTCCAGAAATGCAATATAAAAAATACCCCCGCCGCAGCAAACCTGACGTCTAAGTGAATTTCCATTTGGCTGAATTGATTTTCCATTGATCTATTTAAATAACATTAGGTTTAACGAGTACCTAGGTTTGCTGCTACAAGGAAAATAATAAAGTGTATGTTTTAAGTAAAATAATTATTGCATAGTATAAAATGAATATATTTGCCAAGTTTGATCAAAAGATATCCATAAACAAGCAAACTACAACATTTTACAATATTCTCCATAAGAATAACATGGGAATTTTAAATTTACAATTTTTTTAGTTTTCTCCGTAACCAATAACCGTAAAAAAACACTTTGATATACTGAATTGTTTGTTTTTTAAAGCTCTTTAAGAAGGTTTAGGGAAAATTTGGGAAATTTGGTGTTTTGAGGGTCAAAAGTGAGAAAAACCAATTTTTACCCCATAAAACCCTGTTCCCATGGTCCGATCATGCTGGAACGCGAACTCATTCAAGTTTATCCCGCCTTACACCTTCAAACCAAATTTCATCAAAATCGGATAAAAATTACTCAAGTTATCGTGTTCACGGACACACACATATATATATATATATATATATATATATATACATATATAAAAATTTGAACGAATGGTGTTTTTGGCATCTGGAGACACCAAAATGAAAAAGTAAATCGGTCCCGGGCCTAAGTCTTACCATGAGACCTACGGTAAGAGCTACTTCCCTATAGGGAAATTCGCTAAAAGAAAAAGAAAAAAGAAAAGAAAAGAAACTAAAGGCTTTTTGTGTATGTGGGATATTAAAACAAATGGTGTGATTTTTCAGTACGTTTTAAAAGATAAATTTAACATAACATTTGCAAGTGTATTCATTATTATTGTTATATTATTTGTATATTATTATTATGAATATGATTTCATTAATAATAATGCATATACATGTGTTCTCGCATTAATTGTGACTAGGATTGGAAGGACAAGTAAACTGGGCCAAATATAAAAAAGATGGGGAGGAAAAGGCCTTAATAGACTGAAAAAAAAAACAAAAAAAAATTAGGCTAAATTATAAAAGTTGTTGACGATGGGGAAAAAAATAAATGTATGAAAAAAGAAGAATAAAATTATTAGTGTGTCTGAGTATGATTTTATGTTGTTAAAATTGAAGAAATAAGCACTTTTCAAAGGGTCAATTAGTAAAAATAAAAAAATTGAAATCGGCATTCGGAGGTTAGGAGATGTTTTGTTCACAACTACAGTATATCTTCTGGTTCAGCTGTCCCAAAGTTCTCGGAGTTCAGCTAAGGGCTTCATCGAAGCTACATCGCACTGACTAGCTGAAGATGTGGCTAGCAAAACATCATACATTGTGGCAAAACATGTCATAACCTCCAAATGCAAATAGTTTAACTGATCGACAGTTGGACATTGGAGATATTACTTCCTCCTATACTCACAGTTCAGGAGCCAAACCACACAGCTTATATCTTATCATTATACACATCTATAGATAAAATGAGACTAAGATCTCACCTCTTGTTTTTCATTCTGGCTGTCATTTTGATTCTGTCCTTCCTCAGATTTACTTCCAAGCACCTGCCCAAAAAGCATTGTGATAAAATTGTGGTAGTAAAGACATAAAGACAAGTAATGTTATGACCGAACACTTAGGTAAATTGTGGTGATCTTTGTCAATCAGTAAATCAATATATGACTTCCGCCCTTTTATTAGCAATGTATTGGGATTTTTTAGTAACGTGATTTGAAAAATGTTTAAAACACAAATAGTATGTTTAAACCCATAATAATAGACTTGATCATGACAGATCCTATAAACAACTTAATTGAAATTGAAGGAAGGTAAACTTTTTTGTTAGGTTAATTGTAGTAAAACTGTATATGTCAACCAGTAAATAATTACATGACTTCCATAACTATTATTTAACAATATATAGCAATATTTTCGGTTTTGTGATTTGAAAAATAAAAAACTAATAAAATGTGTTACACCATAATAATTGACTTGATGAGAACAGGTCTTATCATTAACTTAATTATTATTATTAGTTTTTTTTTTTTTTGTGTAGGCTTGGTATAAGGAGAGAACAAGTGAATGTGATGGGATTGTTAACAGAGATGACTAGATAAGAATACATAAAGTATATGGTTCAACACTTACATTCTCCTCACATGATTTTATTTCGTCTTCCGATGTTTTTTTCTCAGAATCCTTACTCATCAATCTTGAAAATTCATCAAAATTGAAGACTTTTGAATTTTTGGGCAACTTTTCCAAATTTTCCGGAAGCTCAAATAAAGATCTGGCGACATTAGGTGAAGTAGAAGCATCCTTTGTACTTTTTTGCTTCGTAGTGAAGCCTTCATGCCGTTTCCCCTTGAAGTGGTCCACTAAATTGTTTTCAAGAATATCCAGATCCAAAGACAATGGTATCAAGGTCTTGCATAGTTTACAGTAACAATGTTTTCCATCCACATTCTTGACGATGACTTTTTCATTGTTCTTAACCAATTGGTTTTCATCCAAAAGCAAAGAGTACAAATGATTGAGGACACTGGCCGGAATTGTTTCCATTCGACGACACTTGTATGTTCTAATACTGGTTGGTAGAGCTGTCAGAACTTTAAATGTGAAAGGATTTGTTGAAGAACAGCCCGGACAGTTTTTAAGCCATTCATTTTCTCTCTTCTTATGCTCACTGCTCATGAGATGCTCAGTCTCAAAACTATGACTGGGTCCTGAGAATTGACACAGCATACACATCACGGAAAAGTTATCCTTCTTCAAAACATAGCCAAACTTATTTGAAACAATAGATGCTATATTCATCGGCCTTGAAGGTACATTAGAGTTATGATCACCGTTTTTAGCTTCTAGTTTCGCGACTGGTCTAGATGCTTCAAACACAGCTTTGTTTGATTCTTTGTTTACTTTTGGAGCAGGTGCTCTCGTTTCCATGTTGGTTTTGTGTTTGCTTCCCAGAAGGTGTGTCCTGAGATTGTATGTGCTAGGAGGCACGACACGGTTACATATCAGACAAGTGACACTGCCCTTTTCATTTTCTATAACATAGTCAACGTCTCTAAGGGCAGGTGGCATGGTGCTAAGCAGTTCCTTCAGCCTACTACCCCCTAGCTTGGGTTGATCACCATCACCATCACCCTTATTTTTTAAAACAATAGATTTTGCTTCATTCATTATGTTTTCCTGCACAGTGCTCTTTTCTGAAACCTTGTTAAAATTTGAATTGATATTGAGCTTGAACAACACATTGGCTGCATGTTCCATTTCGTTCACATGAGATACCAACTGCTGCAAGTTGGTTTCAAACTCCTTATTGCAGTATGTACACATTATACTTCCGTTGACTACAACCCAGTTGTCTTTACCAGCGATGCTGGCTTCTCCGAATAGTCTGAGCACTTCAACAGCTTTTTGGTTCTTAATGTGACCCTGACTTTTCATGTGCATGACAAAGTTTTGGGATAGTACTTCTTGATTATCTTCAAACGGTATCTTTACTTTGCAAAGCTGGCATCTGAACTCTGGCACTACTCTGCTTTCAACAAAATGCAAATTTTCCTTGATGATATCAGAGGATGCAGAGAGTGCCTGTAAGACTGTCTCGGTACTGCTGCCTGTGTCATGGTTCACCTTCTTGCTGATGTGAGAGTCATCGTTGTTGTGAGCTATAATGTTCACAATCGTCTCATGTGGATTTAAGGACGACATAGGTATGTCGCAATGACATAAGTTACAGCATAAACTAGATCCATAAAAAGACACAAATTCCATGATATGATGGAGATGTGTGGGCATTTTAGTTTTAAAATACTCTATGGCTTTATCTTCGTGTTTCCTTGTTTTCAGATGATTCGAAAGGCTCAAAACAGAATCCAAATTCACCAAGCAGATGTTGCAATAGAACATTTTGTCATTAATAACAAAAAAACTCTTGTGGCTCTCAAAGCTTTTCGGGAAAGTTTTGAATATACAGTCAAAGATTTCTGAATTGTTTTCTACATTTTCTGAATTGTGATTGTCATTAACATCGAGATCGTTTGAATGTTGAACTTTCTTTTGAGCTTTGACAACAGATGCCCATCTTTTTACATCAGGTTTTTGTTTTTGCGATTTTGGTGTGACTGCTTGATCATTGATAACTTTTACGCCTATGTTGTCAGTGATGTTTAGAGATCCAATAAGATCTTTAGGTTTTAATTCATCTAATGCCTTACTCAACTTTTCCTGTAGGCCACAATTCTTTACTGGATTATCGGAGCTCGAAAACATAAGCCCAGGAAAACATTTTTCATATGATTTTTTACTTTCATCAATTTTGAAGACTAAGTGTCCAGGTGAGTTACTTAAAGCCATGTTTGTTTTTGTCAAATTCATTCCATTCCCAATCAAATAGCTTGAGCCGACCAATAGAATAAATAACCTGTAAAATAACACAAATAAGTAACTTTTAACTTACAATTATAATTGGAAAAAATATACTTAACTTAGACTAATAAGAATCAGTTGCATTTTACAGACTTCACTGTGTAAAGCTTCTGATCATTTATATGTAGGCCTACTTTACCTGTACATTTTACCTAAATATACAATTTTCCTTGAGGTTATAATAACAATTTTGGTTTTGTTACATGTAGGACTATAGTCGAATCCTTTAAAGATGCGCTCACAGCATTAGGGCCTACATCTATTCAGAGTGCTTAAAAATGCCTCTAAGGGCCGGTTTCGGAGCTCGGGACTAACGCCATTCCTGGACTAAAATCCAGTTCAAACCACTTTTTATTCTAGGACTAAAAAATCGGGTTTTGGAGCTCGAGGATTACGCTAGTCAACGACTAAGTCTATTCAGAGAGTTAACTAGTCCCGGACTTACTTTCATGGGTTTCGGAGTCACGGGTTACTTAATCCTCGAATTAAATTTTATTCGATCGGGTTTTGGAGCCAAATATTTTATCCACAACTGGGCAACAAAGACTAACTCGAGGAATAAGTATAATGAGCAATTTTTAGTCCAGGTGGAGGGTTAGAATCAGGGGTGCCCATCCCCCCTAAGGCTTATGACGCAAATTCCCCCCAAAAACTGATCAAGACAAACCTCCCCCAAATCAGTTGTAGGTTCACCCCATAAATCAAGTGACACTTTAACTGTTCAGTAGTTCACTGTTTGTACATTTACCCACTTACCTATACTATAAACGAGACATTATAGTAACAAACACATTGGCTAAATAAACTAAAAAATAGCATAACATTTTCAATTGATGCTAGAGATTAAAGTAAATTATAAAAAAATTCAGTTTTATAAAATTCTCTTTGGTTTAATTGAAGCAGGTGTTTAGTAAACACTTAATCGAGGAGAGGCAATGTCAATCGCAAAATGATTTAATTAAAAATATAAGAGTAAACATTTTTGCTCAGTGCATTTCAACGTAACCTTGCAAGAAACATAAGTAAAAAAAGGTTTACAAATTTGTTCAATAGGATGTGACGACTGCTTGCAATATCGAAAATCAATGATGACTATTGACTATTTTGTTGTTGCTACTTCTCAGAACTGATTGGTAGAAACTAAAAATCATGATTACAAAATTGTTCAACAAAGCAAATTATGTATAGCCTACCTACTGTAGTTGTGGAGTTTTCCAAAAATTGCATCTATGTGTATATTACATTGTTATAATAAACATGCATATTTTAAGGCCTAATCCCACCACATGTTAAAAGCAATTTAAAATCATGAAAACAACAATTTGTTAAAATATATTAAAACATTTTAATTTTACAGTTTCCAAAAAAGTCTATTAAGAGAATAATTCCCACAAGCTTGATGTTTACAACTAGAGGGAAGAGGTTAATACAGCAACAGTTATACAATATTACTTATTTCCTTTGATCAATAAACATTTTAGACCTACCACTTAGCTGTACAAAACATTCTTGTACAACTAAATCGGCTGCTAGAATATTTAAGAATTGAAATAGGATACATAGTATTTTATCATAAATCAGCCATCCTGTTACACCAAAGAAATAGGCCTAAACGTATTAATAGTTATGGCATTTACACATAGTATAAATAAATAAACTATACATAGGCCATGCCATTTTTATCTAAATGCTGAAAAGTGTTGCACACGCTGAATGTTTGCAGCTGTCAACTTCAATAAATGTACCTACCAAAAGCAATGCCTAGGCCTACCAAAAGCTAATCTAGAACGTTTGCGTCGTCTGCTAGACTTGTTAAAAACTAAAATCAACTTGAAACAAAATTGAGACCAAAAATTAAAATTGTCGCTTTGACATTCCCTTACTCTTAAAATTATCGTTATTTCAACAGAAGAATCAAGCGAATCTGTTGACTAATAACTCAGGATCTTGGAATAAAAAATCCGTGCATGCTTTGATATAATATGGTTTTAACTTGATTTATTTTGAATATATAAACATATTCCTTTCAAACTATTTAATGCATTTTCTGTTTCCTTGTAATTTTTAAACTTTAATGCAAAAGGTATTCACATGGAAATTAAGAGTTTTTAGTTACCGGTAGCGTATATACCAACGGCTACTATACCTGCTTCACCGAAAGAATGCAAAACGTTGGTGTTTGTGCAACAACAAACGGCAGTATTGGCGTCGCGCGAGGGCTGAGGACGAGGACGAAATGAACAGAATCAATTAATTACACTACCCACTACATGTAATAAATAGTTTACTTTTAACGTCCCATTCCATTAAATGTCAAATTCTTAATCAGCCCAAAATTTACATGCAATTTCATATCGTACCTTTTGATATTTTTTTGTATAATTTTCTCTTTAGTATTTAAGCAAAATCATCTTTGAATGAAACTTGTTTAGGCCTACTGTATTTACAATTTATGCTAAAGACTATAATAGGCCAAACGGTTCCTAAAATTAATTTTATAAGGTACTAAACGTAGATTTTAAATAATATAACGATAAAAGAAAGGAAAACTTAACTGTAATAATAAAATATAGGGCCTATCAAATCTAAATACGTATTTAATACGCTAGGTAGGCCTACCTACATAATGGTTTTTACCATTGGGCAAACGTGACGTCACAAACCAGGGGGTAAAATTCCGACCGCAAATTTTTGAGTTTCGCGACATCAGTTCAATGGATAAACGCGGAATCAAACCTATATTTTCAAGGTTGTGAATTTAATCAGAACACATAAAATTTTTAAAACCTATAAGCTTAGTGTACGGGCCGAAATTTTACCTCCGGACTTTTACCCCCTTCATGAGATCAGCTCAAAATGTACACCCCGGAATTTTACCCCCTGGCCAGATGTATAAATTAGTGGGAATGGTTAATTCTCTTCATTCGTTTTTAATTTAATAGTAGGCCTAAACATTTTATTGTTAAGTAGCCTATCTTAATTTATTTGTAACATCAACTAATCGAATAGGTTTTTAATTTTAATTTTGAGATTCGAGTATCAGGATTTGATCATTGAAGCCAACTGTTAATTTATATGATCAAAATTAAACAGCGAATTCTGTTTACATAGGTAGTTGAGATTATAAGATAAATAAATAAAGATAAGCGTATAAAATGTCTACAATGAAATAAAAATAGAAATGTGAAAATCAATCATTCTTAATCATTTCTATATCCGGCCAGGGGTAAAAATCCGGGGGTTAAATTCAGGGGGTTAAAAATCTGGCCCGTACATCTTCAGTTGTCCAAACGCTAGTTATATGGACAGGGGGTAAAATTCCAGCTTTTATTGCTAATCTGATTAATCACGCTCTGTCTATTTTCATTAGACTTCCAAATCCGCAGGGGTAAAAATCCGCCCGCGAACAAACTTTTGAGCTTTGCCCATGGGGTTAAATTCCAGGGGGATAAAATATAAAATTTCGGTGACCCTTTAAGGAAAGGTATTGGTCTGTAGATGAGCCAACAAAAGAGAAACGATGTAAATTCCCCCGGGGCTTTGTTCCGGTGGCCTTTTAAGTTTCCTTCCTATATATATATATATTTTTACTGATTAAATTAAGTTAAATATTCAAGATTTTAATAACTTCACTCTGTCTATTGTATAGCTGAATTTGCATGGAACCTTAAGAGTAACCGTTGATTTGGGCGGGTTTCACATAGTATTAATTAATAGCCTACAATGAAAAAAATTAATTTATTTGTTTTATTGACCTCGTGCAGGTCAATCTTTGTTTATGTGGTGATTGTGATACGAGTCTTGCTACAGATGACTTTAATAATGCTATATTTTACTAAAGAATACTTTTAATCAAAACTAACAGTATAGGCTAACAAAACAAGATTATATTAGCCTATTACAGTATTATTTTCAATTGAAACTCATAGTATAATAATTTAGAATTTGTGTAAAAAAACAAATATTTCAGCCTAGAGCTAACTCAGATAACCTGGAGTCACAGATAACCGGAGCTCAGATGATTGGGAGTTAACTGAAATTGCTTGGACACCTACTTATTCTCTACTACAGATTGTACTTCCAGGAATTGTTAAACAATCTGAGAACACAAATACATTCTATGCAGATAAATTATAACTATGTAGGGCCTACCCCTAGAGCGTTATGTTGTAATAATAATCATTTGTTATGGTTGATTTGCATACAAAAAATTATGAAATATTTCCCCCTATTTTTATCATCCCAAAATATTTATTTCAAAATAGTTGTAACACCTTAAATAGGCCTAGACAATTATTGGGGCTTGCATTAGGATTACAAAAGTCGCAACCAATCTCGAATAGCCTATATCTCTAATATCTACAGTTTTTAGATGCTCATAAAAAATAACTTGGACAAAGTAAACGCATAGGATAACACATTTGACACCTTATCCTTCAATCGGGAAGTTTTTTTTATCAAACTTAACAGCAATAAATTAAGTTAATCCTTCAGTTTTTTTTTTTTTTTATGATGGTTCACATAACTTAACTGGGTTTTTATTTCGGCATACGTTTTTGAACACAATAGGAAAGACAAAGCACGAAGGAGTCATTATCCCAACTGATAACAGATTATAACCAGAGAGACAGTAGACACTAGGGTCGCTATAAGCGCTGACCGTGAACAACTTTGATAAGTATTGTCTCAAATTTGTATGTCAGCTGCCCCTACCACCACTCAAAAACTAAAATTCCCCGTGATTCGAACCTTAGTCCTAGAATAAGTAGTCCAGAAGTTGACGAATAAAGGTAGTCGCCGAATAGACTAGTCCGCAGACTACGGAGTTGCGAGCTCTGACACCCGATTTTTTATTCGATGACTAACTTTATTCACTGACAGGGCTTGCCCATCTAGGCCTAACTTAGTTATTGAGGTTGAAAAAAATAAAAATTACCTTGAATAAACCCAAAATGACGCTAAACATTCCCAAAACCGGTGTTTTATTGGGATATATATGGGAAAATATGTAGGCAATAAAAATGACGTAGGATAATTTTGAACTAGGTAAGTGATCATCTAGGCTACTGAAGAGTGATCATCTCTTTATTTTAACTTATACAGAGAATGAGAGACTTACTCTCTAATAAACAGATTGGAGCGGAACATTTCTTAAAACGTCTAGGCCTAATGAAAATTTGAACTCAACATTCTGAACTAACTTAAGTTGGGATTAACTTAACATGTAAAATAATGCATATACTTGAGTTTTGATTGCTAGGTTAAAAATATTAGGCTACATGATGTTGGCCTCCGAATCACTTAAGTTAATTAAAAAATGGTTTATGCTTAAGTTAACTAACTGCAGTTTAAATGCACACGTCGCGCATCAATCAACCCATGAAAAATGTTCGTGACTCTTAGTATATGTAAACTTAAGTTATTAGTTTTTTTAATTTGTGTTCCTGTCCTTATTTGTGTTCTTGTAGCTAAGTCAGTTTAAATGTGACGAATTTGTACGAATGACAACTCTTGACTTCCTTTGACACCTGAAGAAAGCCCCTGAGGGCTGAAACTGCAGTAGTGTAATAGGCCTACTACTCCAAGGATCACCTGATTTAAACCATTTTTTTTTATAATTAGGCCTAATCCCAATTCCTACCTGTGCTGTAAGTTATTGAGGCATAGCTTAGGCCTAGTAAGTAGCTTACACTTTGAATCGAAAATTGATTGACAGACAAGGCCTAACATGAATGTAACTTAACTTTCAGTAAGTTAAGTTAAGTTTATTAATGTACAATATCCTAACTGAGTTTTATGTGCTATAATTTATATTGAAATGTCAACCATAAACTGAATAGGTTATGCCTACCTAGTAAAAGATAAAATGGTGTAACTTTAACTTACGTTATTACAACAACGTGGTTCTATTGTATTCGCCAAAAGCCCATTTGCGTTGCGAATGTGAATGTGAATTCAAATTATTGTGTTGTGCGGTGTGCCGGCGTGCCTGTTGTGTGGACTCTGGACTCTGGAATGGTGGACTGCGCCGCGGCGCCGCGGTCGCGGTAGTAGTGAGTGGTAGTAGTGGGGATGAAACGGAACGGAAGTCGGAACTCGCAGTCAGTCGCAATACTCGCAATAGTCGCAATTCGCAATCGCAGTTCCAGGTGGCGCCCGGCGGCCCAAGTTTTATTTCAGCTGCAGTTTTTTAATACGGACAAAATGAGAGTTTAAAAATTAGAAATTAAAAAAATATTATAAAACTAAAAAAATATAAAATTAGTTTTAGCGAATTTCCCTATAGGGAAGTAGCTATTACCGTAGGTCTCATGGTAAGACCTAAGCCCGGGACCGATTTACTTTTTCATTTTTATGTCCCCAGAGGCCAAAAACACCATTCGTTCAAATTTTTATATATCTATATATAGATATATATATATATGTGTGTCCATCCGCACGATAACTTGAGTAATTTTTGTCCGATTTTGATAAAATTTGGTTTGAAGGTGTAAGGCGGGATAAACTTTAATGAGTTCGCGAACCAGCATGATCGGACTATGGGAACGGGGGTTTATGGGGGGTTTTATGGGGTAAAAATAGGTTTTTCCCATTTTTGACCCTAAAAACACAAGATTTCACAATTTCTTTTTATACCATTTTGTAGAGCTTAAAAAACAAATAATTTAGTATATTGAAGCGTTATTATGCGCCTAATTGTTACGGAGGAAATTCAAAAACATTGTAATTTTAAAATTCCCATGTTATTCTTATGGAGAATAAGTCAACTGTTGTAGTTTGCTTGTTTATGAACATACTAGCAGAGTACCCGTCCTTCGTACGGGGTTGGAATCTATATAAATAAAATTAGAGTTTTGTCTGTACATTGCTTAGAATAATGAACTTTTTGGTTATTTTTACATTTCATAGGTCAGAGAAACCGAATCAAACCTTATCTCAATTTCTGTCTGTCTGTCTGTCTGTCTGTCTGTCTGTCTGTCTATCTGTCATTCTCTTGGTAACGCTAAAATACGCACTTTATTACAACTACTCCTCAATAACTATAGCACTGTCCCGCCTGAAACTTATTTTCCAAATACTATACATATATGAGATGGTTTTAGACGTATTTCATCGAATATGAGACAGTTAGATATTTAACAGTAAACCCTTGAAAATCAAGTTTTTGTCGATTTTTGACGTGGAATTTCTGGAAGCCCATGTTAACCTTATGAGAAATGAAATTATCCTATAATCTAATACGAGCAATGTTTGCTTGCTTGCTTGCTTGCAAATAAGATCTCGAAAACGGCTCCGACGATTTTCTTCAAATGTTGTAAATAGTTTATTTTTGGCTAAAAAACGAGTTTACTGCAGTTAGAACTGCCAACAAAAATCTAATTACGTAGAAAAATGAAACTGAAAATCACATTTTTTTAACATTAGTCTTATGGGTTGCTAGGTAACCATGTTGGATGAATTAAATAACAAGGATAAAGTAAACAAAAGACTTGAAGTTGTAGCATGTGTTCATAATAAGCCAACTACCCACAGTATACTAGCAAATTACAAATACAGTACAAAAGGAAAAACATCACTTGTTAATATTTAGCAAAGATTATACTGAAGATTACTCGATACATTGTAGTCAAGGGCAGCAGTGCGAAGTCTGGGATCTGTTTATGACGATTAGATTAAGGTATCTGCAATAATAAAATGCCATGGGAAGGGAAGGAAACAGGTCCGCGACATAGGAAGTGGTGAAGGAAGTAATAAAGGCAATCATAAAATGCTATGGGAATAGAGGGAAACAGGTCCGCGACGTAGGAAGTGGTGAAGGAAGTAGTCAAGGCGAGTAGTCCGGAGTGTGAGAACTGTTTATGACGATTAGATTGAGGTATCTGCAATCTTAAAATGATATGGGAAGGAAGGAAAACAGGTCCGCGACATAGGAAGTGGTGAAGGAAGTAGTCAAGGCGAGCTGTTGGAGTGTGGGAACTGTTTATGACGATTATATAAGGGTATGGGCAATCCTAAAATGCTATGGGAAGGGAGGGAAACAGGTCCGTGACGTAGGAAGTGGTGATGGAAGTAGTCAAGGCGAGCTGTCTGGAGCGTAGGAACTGTTTATGACGATTAGATTAAGGTATTTGCAATCCTAAAATGCTATGGAAAGTGAGGAAAACAGGTCCGCTACGTAGGAAGTGGTGAAGGAAGTAGTCAAGGCGAGCTGTTGGAGTGTGGGAACTGTTTATGACGATTATATAAGGGTATGGGCAATCCTAAAATGCTATGGGAAGGGAGGGAAACAGGTCCGTGACGTAGGAAGTGGTGATGGAAGTAGTCAAGGCGAGCTGTCTGGAGCGTAGGAACTGTTTATGACGATTAGATTAAGGTATTTGCAATCCTAAAATGCTATGGAAAGTGAGGAAAACAGGTCCGCTACGTAGGAAGTGGTGAAGGAAGTAGTCTAGGCGAGTTGTCCGGAGTGTTGGAACTGTTTATGACGATTAGATTAAGGTATCAGCAAACCTAAAATGCTATGGGAAGGGAGAAAAACAGGTCCGCGACGTAGGAAGTGGTGAAGGAAGTAGTCAAGGCGAGCTGTCCGGAGTGAGGGAACTGTTTATGGTGATTAGTTAAGGGTATGGGCAATCCTAAAATGCTATGGGAAGGGAGGGAAACAGGTCCGCGACGTAGGAAGTGGTGAAGGAAGTAGCCAAGGCGAGTTGTCCGGAGTGTTGGAACTGTTTATGACGATTAGATTAAGGTATCTGCAATCATTAAATGCAATGGGAATGGAGGGAAACAGGTAAATTACGTAGGAAATGATGTAGGGAGTAGTAAAGGCGAGCCGTGTGGAGTTTGGGAATGGATTTATGTATCTCCAATACTAAGGTGCTTTCAGAGTGAACTAATGATTTTCCCCGAGCAAAGCTTGGTCCCCAGGTACTTGAATCTTAACAGCTGTTTCAATTAAACAAGTTGGTTCTGTTCTGTGATGTTCAATAGCATTAAAGTTACAAGGATTACCAACAGGGTGCAGCACTAGCACTATTATTTCTTTTACATTTATGACAACAGCTAATTTGCAACCTGGAGGCGAGTGAGCGTAGCGAACGAGCTAACCTGAAGGCAAGTGAGCGTAGCGAACGAGCTAACCTGAAGGAAAGTGAGCGCAGCGAACGAGCTCCAACATACAGGTGAGTGAGCGTAGCGAACGAACTTCAACCAGGACGTGATTGAGCCATGCAAACGAGATCAGATAGTAAAAATAAAAGTAAGCCTACCGTTATAGGATCGACCGGCAGACACAGAGGTAATTTAACCTTTTATTGATTGTCATACCGATCCGGAACAACAAAAAACAACATAAAATGAAGCTATGTATAATAGTTTGGCCAGCATATCTTAAAATATGCAAACCAACTGCTGTTCGTTATATAAGAAGGTTTCAACTGAATATTATAAGATCCCCGTGCGTAGAACGGGTACACAGCTAGTATAAGTATAAAATGCTTATTGCAGTTATACTCAAGCTTTGCGATTGCAATGGGTGGAGGACACAGTTTGATAAAATTTGCTTTTTTAAATTTACAGTATTCTATAGTATTACACATCTACCATAGCCATAATGTTCTACCATCCCAGATAGCAGAGAAAGCTTTCAGTTAGTTCATAATAAACTTTCAGAGGCAACCCAAGATGGTTGCAGCAACTATGCATTGCAAACATTTTAATTTGTAACACGTTTGCTGCAAGTATAAAAGTAACCCCATCTCAGACTTTCTGGAAAGTTTCACCGTGTGTTTGAAGCAAGGTTGCAAGGAATAGTTGCGAACCACTTGCAGGGAATGATTGCAGATCACTTGCAAAGATACCGTGCTGCAAACATACAATGGATGTTTTTATCAGGCTACCAAAGAATGCTTGTTAAACACTTGCATTGAATGAATGCAGATGACTTGCAAAGATATCTTGCTGCAAACATGCACTGAATGTTTTACTCAAGCTAGCAAAGAATGCTTGTAAAACACGTGCAGGGAATGAATGCAGATTACTTGCAAAGAAATCTTGCTGCAATGATGCACTGCATGTTTTTTCTCGAGTTAGCAAAGAATGCTTGTAAAACACTTGCAAGTAATCTTTGTACATGACTTGCAAAGAGTACTTGCTGCAATTATGCTCTGGGTTTATTTCTCAGATTAGAAAATAATGTTAGTCAAACATTTACAGGGAATCCTTCTGCTTCGCATTTGCTTTTCAATGACGTGTACGAAGATGAATTGCAAAGATAATTTACTGTAAATATGCACTGAATGTTGAATATAAATATGAAAAGAATGTTTGTTAGATAATTACAGGAAATCTTTGTAGCTGATTTGCTAACTGATACCAATGTGCACTAAATCTCATAATAATATATAAATAAATATAAATATAAATATAATATATATATAACTTCACATTACATTAAAGAGATTGTGTATAGAAAAACATAAAATGTATTATTGTAAACAAAAATGTACGGGGTTTATTTAGGTTTTTTCACAACACAGAGAAAATTTAACTGTTCTGAAGTTACAATTTCAAATTTGGTGTGATTTTCATAATATTGCAAATATGCATGAGTAAAATTCATCTTAAAAAGTATGTAAAAATATGTCAAAGATCGTGCATACTGACTGATGGATATATGACCATTATTACAATCAAAAATGTTTGTGAAAAAAACTCTGAATATGTTGGACAGGCAATAAATTCACAGATTTTTTTTTAAATAAATATATTTTGGGGAACTTCAATAAAGAATACATTTTATAAAAATCAACCATAGTAAAATATTAATTGCTAAGGTGTTTGTCCAGCCAAGAGTGCTCACAAGGGCAATGTTTATCCTCCAGTGCTAGCTTTGATTCCCTGAAACAGCAATACAACAATTACAATAAAATACTGTAATGTTCAAAAGTTTTAACTTTTCTGGCTCAAAAATATGTTGTATTTTATCAAAACTGCCAACAAAAATC